TGCAGGGATAATGGAGCCCAGGAAAGTAAAATCTGTCACTGCCTCCATATCTGCCCCTTCTATTTGCCAGGAGGCGATGGGACCAGTGGCCATGATCTTAGTTTTCTCATCTTTCACTCTCATTACGAGGTTCTTTAACTCCTCCTCACTTTCTGCCATCAGAGTGGTATTGTCTGCATATCGGAGGTTGTTGAGATTTCTTCCGGCAATCTTAATTCTGGCTCGGGATTCCTCCAGTCCAGCCTTTCACATGATGTATTCTGCATATAAGTTGAATAAGCAGGGGAACAATATACAGCCTTGTTGTACTCCTTTCCCAATTTTGAACCAATCCATTCTTTTTAAAATTATATTTAGATGCCATGAAGTACCAGATCTTAAATGTATTCAGTTCAGCTTTTTTAAAAATGTAGGTGATTATTTTTGTTCCAGATTTTGCGCACTTTTAGTAGCATTTTAAAGTTGAAAAGTGTGTTAGTTATTACTCAGTTTTATGGTTGTGGTATGTCTCCTTATTGCAACAATTCTGCAGAATTTGTTTGGAGAGAGCTGCATTTAATATTTTTACACTATGATGCAGTCATTGACAAGTTCCTTGTCAATATAACACAAAGGTAGAATGATTTTTACTAAAACTAACAAATATAATAATACTAGTGAAGCATTGTGGCACAGTGGTTAAACTGCAGTATTGCAGTCAAAACTCTGCTCAAGAGCTGGGTTCAATCCCAAGTAGCCAGCTCAAGGTTGACTCAGCCTTCCATCTTCCAAGGTTGGTAAATTGAGTACCTAGCTTACAGGAGGTGGGAGCAATATGTATCCTGCATAACTAAATTGTAAATTTGTAAACCATCCAGAGAACTCTTTAAGCACTATGAGGTGGTGTATAGGTTTTGCTTTGCCTTTTAGTGTAAATCATAATGCATCTATGTGATTCAATGTACATTTATAATAATTAAATAATACAACTGAAACCTCTGGAAAAAAATAGCATTTCAGTGTGTGCAATGATATGAATATTAATTCAAAACTCTTTTCAATTAAATAGCTGCATGCATATAATCAGGACATTTAATACGTCTTCTGTGAGAAAGTTCTTAGAATTCTGAACTTGTATGATAGTTGTATCTCTGGTTTTCTTTGGAAAAATAAAAATCATCTCGCACTTTTGTATTCATTGAAAATAAGGTGGTTTGCAGAGCATTTTTGTGTGTGATAGTTTTATTGCCCAATAAATATAGTATTTCCTGCAACACAATTGAATGAGAAGTGTATTTTTCCAGGTGTAAATATTATCAATATTGTGTTGCTGATGTAATGAAATAACCTACCTGTTGTCTCCCATTCTGTACTAGTATATCTGTTATGTTACTGATGCTAGGGGAGAGCAGGATTGCACTGGCCACATTTGTAGAGAGTTTTTGAAATGGGGACAAAGGTTGCTTAATTCCCTAGGGCTGCAGTTGCCATCTCCTGTTTTTTAGGCTTTAATTGCTCTAGGGTTGGGAAAGCTCACGAAGCCTTAAATGCCTGCTGAAGCCTTAAACGCCTGCTGAGTCCTTTTCAGAACTTTAAAAGGAATAAGTATGAAACCACAGCCAGCACTAAATCACAGTGGCTTGCATTACTTTTAAGAGCAAGGTTTTAGTTCAACTATCCTTTCCAAGCTATTTAAGATTTGCCTGTCATGTAAGCAGTGTGATGCCCTCTAGGGAAATATTCATTTAAGGTAGAGGGGCGTTTTCCACTGCGGTGTTTATTTATTGGATGGAAGGTTCTTAATGTCTAAAATCCTGTTGACTCCAAAAGGAAAATAAGCAATGACGGGCAAGTTACTCACAGCTCGGTTCAGAACTGGGGTTGGCAGACAAAGTTGCTTTCAAGAGGAAGAAGGGGAGGGGGAGCAAAAATATATATTTTTTTAATCTGAGCCCATTTCTAAATTTGGACCTAGCTGTATTCCTAATGATGCTGCAGAAGCATTCAAGGCACCAAGGAGGGAGCTGCCCTGAATCAGATTACAAATGTGAGCTGGAGACTAACATTTATGGGAAATTGCATTTGGTTCATAGTAAAGCAAACAGATTTATATTTGTAATGGAGCAACATCACCTAATGGAAGAAACTCTAAATATATTGCCATAGGGGAGGATTTGATGGTCAGAGAAGAAGGACAGGCAGCCAGCTGTGCCCAACAATGGGGTGTGCCTGGATGTTAAAATAGCTGGAATAAAAAGTAAACTTTTACAGCAGAAGAAATAACCCAGTGCTTTTAGAAACTACATGCAAATATTAAATTATTGTAAAGGCAAACACAAAGTAAAACACATTTTTAAAGGATACTGGGAGAAAAACCACATACTTTGTATTTTGGATAAAGTTCAGAAATTCATAGTGTGCATCTGAATATTAAACCAGCAGAACATTTTGAAGAAGACCATTCTGTTGAAACAATATAATAGGCTGCTTGTGTTAGCAAGTGAAGTTTCTCCTGCTTTCATTCTATGTCTGGTTGTTAAAATATTTCATGGGATCAGTCTGCAAAATACACAACTTAGAAAATAATGTGAAGTCTGTTTATGTGTTGTTTGTGTAATTATGGAAGGATGAGGAGAAAAAATTTGTGTGTCTTTAAATATATTCCTTTTGTCCTTCCAAGAAGCAGGTGTTTTCATGTGAATCGTGCATCCTCCAAGTCTAGTACTTTACCAGTATTTGCATAAACATGTATGTATCTGCTGGTCCAAAGTTATTGCCTGAAACTTGGGAGCTCCCACCCTCATTTAGAACAAATAATTTAGATATGTAGTTAGAATTAAACTGGTGAGTAACCTTGGATGTAATGGACCCTCTTGTATGTTTATAATGAACCACCTATATGGAAAAGGCAGACCTTTGCCTTTGTCTATAAAAATAAAACTCTGTCCTTTTGAGTTCTCTCATCTGCCAAAAATGCTGATTTTTGTTATGCTTGCTTGTTTTTGATCAGGCTCAGTTAATCCATGACAGAAATACTGCATCCCACTCAACAGGAATGGTTAAATCTCTCACTGCTATTGCTATGCCAGAAAAAGTACAAATGACCTGGACGAAAGATAAGCTTATATCTGAGAAGCATAAAATAAAAGAGACAAATATGGCAAGCTACAAGGACATCTTCAATATGAAACCGTAAGTTGATACCTAGGGAATAAAATACTGTGATCATTGGACTGCATTAATGGTACTTAATATAGCTAGACAAAAGTATTAACAATCCAATGACAAGTTGAATTGTGATTTTGTGTATGTCTTTAAATCAGCGACTACTTTGTGACTCTCCGGAATTTGTTGCCCCACAGTGTTAGCCATGTAACCAGTGGTGAAAGACTGTGGGAGTTGCAGTCCTGTAGTGTTGGGTAGATTATAAAATGCCCATTTTGCTTTATAAAGTGTAAAATTCAGATCTGAAAGTACAAATGATTCAAGTTTCATTCATGTACACACAGTCATCCTGTTTTCTTCCTGATGTTCTGTTATTCTGACACAACCAAAATTCAATTACTGGTTGTTCCCTACATTGTCTCCTTTGTATACACATACAGGCTATACATAGATCCAGTTATTAATTCTGTCTTTATATTTGCACATGCACAAATCTACACTCTTAATCTTTAATTCATTGTTTTAAAATAGTTATTATAAATTATATTTAAAACAAAATACAATAAGGGCAGTTTTTAAAACAATTGACAGTCTTTCTTAGTCAGGTGACCCTCAAACACATCCCTCTCATTCTAAATGTATGCCACCTCTGTAATAAAAGCACAGCAACCCATAATTTTTTTAAAGATAAACACCTCCCTACCTCTTCTAGTATTTTGGTGGGGCAACACATAATCTGAAATCTGTGGATTTTTAATTTATTCATTCCTGGCTCGCTAAATGCCTCTCTAAAGAGGTATGTTTTCATTTGCCAGTGGAGCAAAAGAAGGGAAGAGGCCAACTGCACCTCCCAAAAGAAGGAATTTCGTACTTTTGGAGTAGCCATAGAAAAAGCCATCTCTGGGATCCTTACTAAACGTGCATGTGAGAATGGTGGGGCCCAGAGAAGTAACTCCCCTGAAAACGTAATCCATGTGGAGGCTTGTACAAGGAGATACAGTCTTTCAGATTCCATTTTCTCACCATCCAGGACTGGAAGGCTGCACCATATGGGTGAAATAGTGTGGATTTTCCATTCATCTCCTGACACCTACCTTAGATTAACTAGAATGGCTAGATGAATGTTTGTCTCAATAGCAAAGCAATGAGGAAAAACGAACAGACCTGCCTATTTCAGTGCCTTTCAATTCATTTAGTCCTTACACAATAACATTTGCTTGCTGGCATTTGTCTTAGGATTTGTAATCATTGAAAGCTAAAGTTTGATTAAGACCACTTTACACGTTTGCCCTAGTATCAGCACCATTCAATGAGAAGGAACGTGTTTAGAATTCTCTACATTAATATATCTTTTCCCAGGCTTCAGGCTTCTTTGAATTTAGTGGCAACTCCTGTAGCCCTATTAAGGTTTGCTTGCCTGAGTCATTTCGGTACGTGAACAAGAAACCACCTAGGCCAGTCCCCTTTATCATCCCTTTCTCTGTTTGAGAATCAGTGAGTCTGACGGGAAGGCAACCCTGGTTCTATAAAAGAGCAGAAATCCTGATTTTCCAAGATTCTGGCTTGCATGGAAAGCTTCCATAAAAAAAAAAAAGAATTTTTCTTCAGATTCAGTGATTTCCTAATTGGGGGGGAGGCAGTGATGGAGGAGAGGTGATTAGTGCTCCTCCATTCATTCATTGTAAAAGGACTGAAGACGGCATGTGTCTTCTGCCATTCTAGTACACAGTGGGGACAAGCAAGAAGGACCACTTGTAAGGGTCTGAAAATAGGCTTCTTTGTTTAAAAGCAGAGAGAGCCATAATTCCCATAGTTCCCAAAGCAAATGAGGGAGAGTGAAATAGTGCAATGAATGTCTTCAGCTTCCACAGTTCTCTGTATTTTCATTTGGGGGTGTCAGAATGCCTTCTTTAGGCCCTTCCCTCTTTTTTTTTCTTCCTTCACAACAATAATTCCTTTATCAATTCTTCAGGCACAGCCTTCTTTGCACTTTAGAATGGCCATAATGAACATAATAGAGAAAAGTACTAAAACTCTTTCCCAGATCAATAATAAGTTGGATTTTGATAATAATAACAATGACAAACTGACTATTTTCTGAAATGATCCTAAGTAGTAGAGTCCACATTGATTCACAAATGAGAGGATCAGATAAATGCATCTGGAGAAAGCATGCTGAAGACAGACAGACAGAGATGGGTGTATAGTTACTAGTGTGTTCTGGGAGAATAGTTCATCAAGGAAACATTTCTATAAAAACAAATAAAATATTAAAAATAACTATCTACTAACTTTATTTTTTGCCATTTACCAATAATGTATAATGCACCTGTAGTGTAAAGATTCACTGGCTAAAATCCTGTTATATAGTAAATCACTCTAGCCCATTGAATCAGTCAAGATTTGGTGATTTAACTCTTCCATAATCACACTGATGCGAATTGGCCGACTTAGTTGTGATTTACTAGGCTAAAATAATTTTCAACTAGAATAGGCCCATTTGAATCAATAGATCTTACGGAGGAGCTGACTTTATCAAATCCCCACTGATTCAGTGAGCCTACTCTAGTGTGACTTACTACACTGAGCAAAAGTATTTCAGCTGCTATTTAAACAGTGTTCATTAACCTTGCTATGCACAAAAATATTAGAATCATTATAGCTTTCAGACTCCAGATGTCAAAGTAATGGAAAAACCACAGCTTAGAAACAACCAAGAAACATGCATGTGTACACCTGTAGCCTTCTTTCAAATACACAGACATACTCCACTGTTGTCTTCAAGATTTGTGTGTGTGTGTGTGTGTGGAGTGTAGAACTGCAGAAGCTGCTACAGTGATTTGACAAAATGCTGATTATGACCTGGATGCACACAACCAGCAATTTATCACAGCAGCAGCTACTGAGTTGGAGTGCCCACGCATGTAACTGTTGTGAAACAAAACCAGCCATAGTGTTCTTACTAAATAACTTTATTTTTGCCATTTACCAATAATGTATAATACACCTGTAGTGTAAAGATTCAGTGGCTAAAATCCTGTCTTGGTGTCATCCTGCACATGGGAACCAAGCAATGCTCTTACCTGCCAGTGTTCTCCATTTAGATTTTATTTTCAGCACTGCTGGCTATTTAAACAGTGTTCATTAACCTTGCTATGCACAAAAATATTAGAATCATTATAGCTTTCAGACTCCAGATGTCAAAGTAATGGAAAAACCACAGCTTAGAAACAACCAAGAAACATGCATGTGTACACCTGTAGCCTTCTTTCAAATACACAGACATACTCCACTGTTGTCTTCAAGATTTGTGTGTGTGTGTGTGTGTGGAGTGTAGAACTGCAGAAGCTGCTACAGTGATTTGACAAAATGCTGATTATGACCTGGATGCACACAACCAGCAATTTATCACAGCAGCAGCTACTGAGTTGGAGTGCCCACGCATGTAACTGTTGTGAAACAAAACCAGCCATAGTGTTCTTACTTTGCATAGGAACAGTTTCCCTGAAACGTACTGAGAACTATGTTCAGCTGTGCAGCTGCTTAAAAAAAAAAGGATGTCTTGGTGTCATCCTGCACATGGGAACCAAGCAATGCTCTTACCTGCCAGTGTTCTCCATTTAGATTTTATTTTCAGCACTGCTGTCTTAGAGTACAGGAAAAACAGTTTAAATAAAAAAAGTTACCGTCTTTCTGATTGTCATTTATATCTGAGTGGTCAATCTACGAGTCATGTGACCTTTCACCCATTTGAAACCTTGGCTGAGGATTCATCAATCTTCAGTATCAGTGGAGGGGAAAATGTATGTGTGTTGTTGTTGTTTTTCCTCCTAGAGGCTTTCTGTGCCTTTGGAAATGGTGCAGACTTCCATGCACCTTGTTTAAAGCAGCTGCGTATGCCATGAAGTTTCCCAGTAGCACAGATCTGGTTAAAAAAACATCCAAATAACATGCACTTAATTTCAAAGGAAAGAAAAAGTCATTTTCTCCACAACAAATTCAGCATCAAGGTGTTAATCATGGTGGGTTTGATTATGTGGTCCCATGTGGTCCCAGCATTGCTCAGGCCTGATTTTCAGCAATGGTATTGCAGTATAAATTTAAGGCAAACTGTGGAGATTAAGGAAGCTGAGTTTTAATTGAAAGCCTTTTGTGTAGATATCAGCCATTAACTTAAGAAAGTCTATTAGTGAACAAGATTTTTTTTAGAATCATTGCTGCAGTAAAATACAGCTTTGAGTCTGAGGAAAAAATATTAATTCCATTGCTGATAAACACACAGTATTGGTTTTATATTATTATAATTTCAGTGGCAGTGTATAGTGAGTGGAACGAACATTTCTGTAACCACTAGGTGGTGATGTTAACCTAATAATCATTAGCTAAGGTTATCAGTATGTAGAAAAATTAACTGAATAAGTGGAGAAAAAGAATGCTGTGTATTCCTTTCATACGGTGAAGACAAGGTAATAATTGCCATTATATATGTAAATATAAGATACAGAATGTTTTTGCTTATTAACATTTATTTTCTACTTCAAAGTGTTTGTGTTAAACAGTAGTGCTACCTTTAAATGAAATATATACAGTTGTGTCAATTCATAGCTTTATTGCCATAAATGCTGCTTTTATTATAAATCAGCACAGTTAGAATGCACGCTTGCTAGATAGTTGCATGCGAAAATGTGGAAACAAGGTTGTATATTTTAGTAAAGGAGTTGAATGATTTTGCAATAGTATTTGTAATAGTCAAAAAGTTGATACATAGAATTGAAGAGATTTGTCTTTTCTTAGGGAAATAAAGCATTAATGTTTAATTATTAAAAGTAGTAACAGAACGAAGGAAATTGCTTCCTTAAAACTCCCAGGATGTTTCTACACTGTTCTAAAGCCATTCTCATGCAGTATAATTTGCTGCATTGCGTGCATCCATACACATTAAGAAGAGCATCTAAATTGGGGCAGGGAGAAACAGTGTAGTTTTAATCAGGCCATGTAGCTACACAGTTATTGGATACTTAAACATTTACATATGATAAAACAGCTTGCTTGCTTCCTGTGCCTTTCATTGCTGTCCAAGTGAAGAGAGTTTAGTGATGTAGTGTAGGACAAGCTTAGTATGGAACCAATATTTGTGGCCTAATTTGCGGAAAGGGTTAAAAGCCTACTCTTTAGTATATAGAGCTAAATTCACATGTTGTACTTCTAGCAAACCCATTAAAATAAAGAGGGTTGAGTTGTCTGTGTCTAACTTAATGCCATTGATTTCAATAGCCCTCCTTGGAGAATGACTAAATAAGAATCTTAGCTTCAGTTGTATTTTAATGGCACTTGTAATTCCCTTTTACACTTAATAATAGCCAAAATATATAGGTGCTTCCGAGGAATACCTTTATATACAGATGCAAACACTGGTGCAACTGGATAGGTCTTGGTGACATTTGCATATAGAATTCTTTTGGAAGAGGAAGAAGGGGGGTTGGCAAACAAGGAGAGAATGAGGCACACAAGTCTGAAAGTTGCTTTTTCCGCTTTGATGTAACATGTAACTAAGACTTGAGGCTACAGTTGTCGCTTCTTCCATCCTAAAGAGAGAGTTCATCTCTCTTGCTTGTGCTGTCTCTCTCTCTCTTGTAGAGCTATTGAAGGCACAGGAAGAGATGTCAGGGCAATATGTTATGGCAGAAATATCCCAAAAGAGCAGTGTTGAACAGTTATAAAATAACAATGGGAGCAATTAACATATTCCTTCATTAGTACTACAAGTTTGCTGTATATATTTTTAAAGTCATTGTGCAGTATACAATTTAAATCAAGTATACAATTTAGAAGTGTGTAAACTTTTGAGGTGTGAATATAAGTATAATGTGCTTAAGTTTCTGTAATGGTAAAATATGCCATACAACCATCAATGTATTCCTAAAATAATATATTTACACATTTGTTTCTTTTCCATGTAGAGAATGGGGAAATCTGTAAGTCAAATTCGATTTAAATTAGGTTGTTTTTCCTGCTTTTCTGTGCTTTTCCGTTTAACTGTTGTTGCATGTCATCTTCAAATTAGTTGCTTTCAAATTTTTATTGTGTCCATATATGACATTTAGCATGTGAATGTGATGGCTTAGCATTCCAATAGTATTTTCCTTTTATGCTCTTCTAATAGGTTTCTCTTTATTATTATTTTCTTCTCCTTCAGAATAAATCCCATCATAATGCTTCATAAAGCAAAGGTCACAGTTTGCTTATATAGAATGGCTGACATTTCCTTCATAAAAGTCCGTGGAGTGCAACTTTCCACCTTAATTATCTCAATAACCAGATGCAAAATAGTTTCTGTATGGGCTAACATTGACATAATTGAAAGGATTATGGCATTGACACTAAGCATTTTTAAATGGATATGTGTGTATATATAATATATATAACATAAGCCTAATTATAGCTTCAGCCATAATCTGGCTCACCTTCCATTTTGTTTCATTTGTGTGAATATTGCTGCAATATTGCATAGCTCCAAAGCTCTCCTTCCATCTTTTTAAAAAACAAAAATAATAAAAGATAATCTTAACAACAACAAAATTAATATAGATAGATGTGTCATTGTATGGATAGATCATTGAACTCCACGAAAGGGACAGCAACACAAAAATTACATTCTGATAAATTCTTCCATTTCCCTTCTTTGAAACACTACCAAAGCTTTCCTCTTGCCTTTTCATTTTCATCGTTGAGGATCTCCATCATTTTACTCCTTGAATTCCCCCCATGGATTACCATTACTTTATACAAAAAAATCTATCCACAGAACAGTTTTGTACATATACATATAAGACATAGTCATCCTCTCTAATAATTGTACAACACCTACAATGATCACATTCATCCATTAGATTTGATCTATATGTAGAAAAAGGTATTTTGTCCATGGATCTTTTGATTTATTAACTGCACAAAATTCAGCTTTATGGTAGTCAATAAACTGTAATCCAGTAATACGTACATGCTTAAACTCGTGACTTATTCAATGCATGCCCATTATTATTAAGCTTTTGCAGCAGCCCCTTGCCTCTGTGGGTGTAAGTAGGCATCCTTTGCTCTCACATTTGGCTAGATCAGGAATCAGTATTTCAAACTCATAAGGGAGAAGCCCGCTTGGTATATAGTATGAGCAGAAGCTTTTATAGACATAAACTATAGAAGGGAAGATCATGAATGTGAAACACATTTGTTAATATGATCTTGAACTTCTCTTCCTTAATCATACGTAAGCAGATTAACCTTGAAAATTGCCTATATATTACTCTGCTTTACCCTTCTTTGCTAGAATTTGTTCTTTATCTAAATTCATTTCATACTTCTCATTTCACATTAAGATATGGTGTCCCACCTCAGTGGTTTTCTAAAAGGGCTTCAGAAATAGTATTTTCCTTGCAAGGAAAATATTATACTTAAACCTTGTGAGAAACACAGTCAAGCATTTTGGAGATGCAAGTTGTCTGGTTAACTATTATGTATTTTAAAGATAGACCTGCGTGTTGCAGACTGTCTTGCATTTCCAGTTTTGCAGGTAGTACTCAGATTGGCTTGAGGGAGGGGAGGAGTGTTGGATTGAAGAAGGAGAACTTAACTCTTCCCTTGCTGCCAATCCCCCCAGTGACTGCCTGTTCAGAATTTCATACTCATGTTTGCAGGTAATTACGCATCTCAAAACTAGTTGCATCCATCCTGAAAATATTAGGATAGCGTTGTGATGAACAGCATAATATTCATAAACTCTTATTGGAGTCTGTTTGTGATCGGAGAGAATTAGGGAGTGGCTAAGCACTACAGCTGTGGTACAGTTGGCTGAGATATCACTAAACAATATGTGATAATTTTAAAGTTAGTTTTCATTATATTCCTTTGAGTGAAGATGATGCTCACGCTTCGGTGACCAAACTGGCACTGATTGGTATAGATTTGGTAACTTTCTGATGGAAAGCCTACCTGAGAAGTATCACAATTGAACAGCTAACCTTTGCTACCTCTGTCCACAGCTCCCTTGATAGCCAGGATAAAAATCTTTTTTGTTAGCTGCAGAGGATGTCTCAGGCATATATAGACATATGTTCCATTAAAGTGCCATCTGACTTTTAATTTTTTTTATGATAAAAGAGCATCAGCTGCTATAGTTTTAGAGAGCTGGATGTCTTGATTTTCACAATCAGTGTATCTTAATGAGCTTCACTGCTTCATTACTGGAATACAATGCAAGAAAAATACAATGTGACACTGTGTCTGTAGAGGTGGAAGTAGTTTATTGCAGAGGTCCCCGACCCTGGCTCTGCGGCCCAGTGCCAGTCCATGCCTGAACCGGACCGGGCCACCAAGACAGACCTCCCGCCCTGCCCGACCCCCGCATGCACTCACCCCTACACAGCTGATTTGCACATGCGCGCGTGCTCCAGGATACCAGTGCGAGCGCTGCGCCTCTGTTTGTACACGAGTGCCCACACAAGTGCCACACCATTGTTTGTGCATGTGCGTGAGTGTGCACGCCTGCACAAGCACCACCATTTGCGCATGCGCACAAGCACAGAAGCAGCACGCTGCTGTATGCACACACACTCGTTTGCACATGCGCACGAGCAGGGGGGGTTCCCTGCCTTCCCCAGCCAGTCCGAGGGGTGAAAAAGGTTCAGGACCCCTGGTTTATTGCTTCTTCTTTTCCAGTGTCATTCATGTCTGCTCTCTCAGATTAATTTGATAAGTAATTAGAGTCTTCTCGCTAGTCACTGATTATCTTTTCTGTACTGATCCAGTCAGTCAGAAGGACATGTGAATGTTTTTTTATATGTGAATATCAGGATCCAAAGGCAGTGGTCTACTCATGCACAGGGTGTTTTCAGCTCCCCTTTTGTAGCAGTGGCACTTCATGCTGCTGAGAAACCCCATAGAACAGCAACCCAGGATACAAAGAGTTTTCCTCTCTGCCCCTGTGCATATATGAAGGTACTTTGCACTCATGTTAGTCCCCAGCCATAAAGGTTTATAAATTGGTCTCTTTTATTATGGTTATCAGTGGATATTGGATAGTTATACTAGTCTGAAATGCTACTTCTGTACATTTAATCTGGGTGTCTTAATGGGTGGATGGAAGACTTTCCTTACATTGATTAAAGTCCTCTTGGAAGCTCAGACATGTTACCACAACTGCATCTTTGAGAAGAGAAAGGAAACGTCTTGTTTCCTCTCATGCAGAGAGCATTCTAGCTGGAAGGATCTCTATAGGGATGAAGGGGATGACAGATTCACACACTTCTGTTGCTTTCTGAGCAAGAGAGACCACCAGAAGAGTATTCTAATGCTTATAGCCTAGCTTTTAATTCCTCATTTTAAGCCTTGATTCTTAGTTGCTTTATGCATGCTGTAGCTGGTTCCCCTAATAAAGCTGGAGATGAGTTTTGTTTGGAATTTCAAAAGTAAACACTTGTATAAAAGGAGTAGTAATGAATAGGATTTCATATTGATTCTTCTAAACTGGTGACCTGAATTCAGTGCAACCAACAGGAAACCAAGCCCTTTGTAGCAAGCAGTTTCCTATGATTAGTATCCAAGTCAAGGAAATGGGACTGGGGAGAAAGAAACAGTGGCATGTATTACCTAGATTAGCCTTTCTTGATCAATTAGGGTGTAAATTATTATGATCTCCCTATCAAAATTAGAGAGTATTGGTGAATAGTCTCTTTACGATGGGAAATGGAAATGTTGTTGTTGTTTAGTTGTTAAGTCATGTCCAACTCTTTGTGACCCCATGGACCAGAGCATGCCAGGCCCTCCTGTCTTCCACTGCCTCCCGGAGTTGGGTCAAATTCATGTTGGTCGCTTCGATGACACTGTCCAACCATCTCGTACTCTGACGTCCCGTTCTCTTGCCTTCACATTTTCCCAACATCAGGGAGTCTTCTCTTTCCAGACTCCTCTTTCTGGGGAGTCTTCTCTTCTCATGAGATGGCCAAAGTATTAGAGCCTCAGCTCCAGGATCTGTCCTTCCAGTGAGCACTCAGGGTTGATTTCCTTCAGAATGGATAGGTTTGATCTCCTTGCAGTCCAGGGGACTCTCAAGAGTCTCCTCCAGCACCACAATTCAAAAAATCAGTTCTTTGGCAGTCAGTCTTCTTTATGGTCCACCTCTCACTTCCATACATCGCTACTGGAAAAAACCATAGCTTTGACTATGCAGGCCTTTGTCGGCAAGGTGATATCTCTGCCTTTTAAGATGTTGTCTAGGTTTATCATTGTTTTCCTCCCAAGAAGCAGGTGTCTTTTAATTCCATGGCTGCTGTCACCATCTGCAGTGATCATGGAGCCCAGGAAAGTAAAATCTATTACTGCCTCCATATCGTCCCCTTCTATTTGCCAGGAGGTGATGCGGCCAGTGGCCATGATCTTAGTTTTTTTGATGTTGAGCTTCAGACTGTTTTGTGCACTCTCCTCTTTCACCCTCATTACGAGGTTCTTTAATTCCTCCTCACTTTCTGCCATCAGAGTGGTATTGTCTACATATCTGAGGTTACTGATATTTCTTCCAGCAATCTTAATTCCGGCTTGGGATTCCTCCAGTCCAGCCTTTTGCATGATGTATTCTGCATATAAGTTAAATAAGCAGAGAGACAAGATACAGCCTTGTCATACTCCTTTCCCAATTTTGAACCAATCAGTTGTTCCGTATCCAGTTCTAACTGTTGCTTCCTGTCCCACATATAGATTTCTCAGGAGATAGATAAGGTGGTCAGGCACTCCCATTTCTTTAAGGACTTGCCATAGTTTGCTGTGATCCATACAGTCAGAGGCTTTTGCGTAGTCAATGAAGCAGAAGTAGATGTTTTCTGTAACTCTCTGGCTTTCTCCATAATAATGGAAATGTAGGCAGGAGCAAAAGTAGCAGAGATAAATTCACAAGGTTTAGTTATTTTTTAATCAGTTATGGTTAAATTCAGTACTACCAACACTACTGTAATCTCATGCCATGAGATTGGGGTGCTGGTACATATTAACTCTTGAATTATCTGTTACAGTCATGCTGTTGATGGCACCCAGCAATAAGCACCCACACTTGCATTCACATAGTGTGAAGTCCTAGGTTGGGGTAGAGGCTAATAAAGTATTGCGTGCCCTGGAAAATTCCTTTCAGAGTTTTGTTGGCCATAGAGTTTTTACTTTCTAGAAAGCAGGAAAGAGCAGTACAGTAACATTTCTGTAAAACAGAGAGACTCATTTTCTTTTCTTGACAAGTGACACCGAGCAAAATGGTGTATCCCCCTTTCATTAAAAGTCATGGAGAAGCCAGATAAATTTGTTTCAGAGGCTAGAATCAGTCTGCAAGTCCAGTTGACCCTCTTTGTTCTAAATCATAGACATTCCATGATGTATTTGCCCAAGCATATGTTTCTTTTTTATAAATAGTCATAACATTAGTTGCTGATTAGTAAGCATTTTCTATTTGGTATGGCTTCAGAAAGTTTGGCTGCACCAGCACCTTTTTCTTCTAGTATGATATAAAATTGTGCCAGCTAATCCAACTTTGTTCTTGTATCATAGGAACCAGTCAAATGTAAGAAGGATGCATACTGCTGTCAAGCTTAATGGAGTTGTGCTAAACAAATCACAAAATGCTCAGCTGGTATTACTGAACATGCCTGGACCTCCAAAGAACAGGAAAGGAGATGAAAACTGTATCCTTTTATATATGCTTTAGACTCTGAAGCAGCCATCCAGCAACTCCTGAAATCAAGACTAACACAGCTACCCTCTGAAAATTGTTCCAAAATATATTGTTCTACTAAAATCAGATGGTGAATAAGACTGAATAAAATAGAGATGGGCAGTCTATTACAAAGGGAAATAAATGTGTGAGGAAGAATCTAGGAATCCATTACATAACTTGGATTCAAACATCTGCATACTCTTCCTTCTTTCCAGGTAAATCCACAGATCATTTCCATTAAAGTACAGAAACACTTTGGATTGTTGAGCTCAAGACAGTTTCCGTTTCCTTGTCACACATTATTTCTGCATGAGCATAGAAAAAGGGGATCCACCATCCTGTGTTCATCTCATTCATTTTTATTTTGCTTTATGCAACAATGTTTAGAAGCTGTTTTTAATGACTTCTTGGTCATTAGCCCATGGGAGTCAAGATTATTCAGCCTACTTTGAGGAGCATTCCATAGTCGTGATGTAGAGGCAGTGAAGCTGTTGGTCTCTTAACCACTTTTACAAGACCAGGACTTTGTTGTTTTTTCTTCGCTTCTCCTGAATAAAATCCCTTTACCCTTCTCTTGTGAATGTTAACTACAGTGCATTCCACCTTCATGAACACTAGCCGTCTATTCTCCCTTGGTTTGCAAAACAACTTGAAACCCTAGTTTTCAAACCTATTGCAAACCTTGGTTAGTATGGGAGACATAGTACTTACATTGAAGTTTAATACTAACATGATCCACAGGCAGAGCAAAGCAAGTACGTTTGCTGCTCCTGCAAGAGAGAAATCTCTCATAACCAGTGATCAGAAGGATTATATCCTGCCTGGGCATTTTAATATCTTTTTTTGATTTTTCAGAATGCTTTACAGTCATTATTATCACATTCACAACAATTGAGCAAACTCATGACTGAGCAGAGGTTTGAAGCTGAGCTACTGAAAATGCTTTGTTAATGCATCTTTGGAGTGCAGGTTGTCCCGAGGTTAAAAGGTGTAAAGATTACCAAAACTAGTAGATGCAGTTTGTACTGTCTCAAAACCTTGACTTTGTTGATATCCAGATATGGAATTCTTGGAGGTTTTGACGGAAGGCTTGAACAGAGTGCTCTTGGTGCGAGGAGGAGGCCGTGAAGTCATCACCATTTATTCCTAATAATTTGATTGAACGCACAATATTGCTAGCAACAGCATCCTTCTGGATATGAATACAGGACTGTGGCAGTTCTTGGACTAACAACGTGGGCCTGCCTTGTGTTTTCTTGCATACAGCATAGAATCTGACAGTGGAATCCTATTTTTATTTCTGTTCCCATATTATGTAAGCAGATTATTTCCAACATAGATCTACAACATTTGTCTTTACTGAAGCAATGTACTATATACGTGTATATTTTTTTAATGTGGTAAAACTGGGAGACTTATTTTTTTGTTCTTGGGATGAGAGTACGTGAATAAATACTCCTTCTGTATATTGGTCTTAAACATGGCAAATGGAGTAACTTTTTTTTGACATAGGAATAAACCTTTGACTTTTTAGTACTTTTTATAATGATGGTATACCAAAAAAAAAAAAAAAAGGAAAGAGAAAGCATTTCCAGGAACTACAGTATTTTATAAGAGTCTGATCCCTACATATTTTGTACTATTGGCCCTGCTGATTGGTAAGCAGGCTGTGTTTCCGTATCAAGGTCTCCCTGATTCTGTACTCATTATTCACCTGCAAACATGTGAATCATTTGGCATTATATTCTACTTTAAAAATGCTGGTTGAATAAAAATCCTTTAATTTATCCTCTACTGAATTGAGAAGTAGTCAGTTTAATTACCTGTAGTGCCACTTGTGACTTTACTTACTATCACCTCAGTTTCAGCTGTTGTGGTAGAACAAAGCTGAAAAGATTGGGGCTGTCTAAATGTTTCTTCTGCTCTTTACAAATATCGCATACAGGTTTTGCCTTTCTGGTTTTGAAAGCTGAGTTACCCAACCCTTATATTTCAGGAGTGGCCAGAATTTTAAAAATCCAGTGAAAAAATAAATATCTGAAAGTAACGAAAGTTCAGCTGCTGTAGCTGCATCAGCAGCAACATTCATTTATTGGATCTGAATTCACCTGCTCCCTACCTGGCTGTAAAGAACAAACGAAAGCAATTTTCTGGTGATCTGCTGCCATGTTTCAGGGCCCAGAATAGGGATATAATGAAAACACTACAATTCTTCTCATCCTTGATGAAAAAGAATGTCTCAACACATTAAGATACCATGCTGAAAAACTGGCAACTATAGCAAGATTTTTTTTTATTTTTTTTTTTATTTTTATTTTTTTTGCATAAGAAAGACTTGGCCTTTGTAGAAAATTTAAAAATCTTGTATTTGGCAGAAAATACTTTTTTTTTTACAAAACAAACTCCAAAATAATGCAAAATATTCACAAAAATGCTCATCCTTTTGCTTGGCAGTGAGCTTTTTAAAAACAGTTTCTCATTTTCAAGTACAGAGTAAGGCTAAACGGCAGGCCTCATGGTATAACTGGAAAGGAAATGCAAAAGGGGAATGGGAAAGAGCCCCAGGTACAGAACATGACATGGAAGGAGGAACAAGGGGGGAATTGCATAAGGAAACAAAATCAAGTAACTTCGGGACTGTGTACAGTTTATAGAGCAACCAGGCAAAGTATTTTTCCTTAAATTTCTGTTCCACCATTCTTGAAAGAGACTTAGGTTTGCACACACATTTGTTCAGTGTATTCCCCTTCACAGATTTTAAAATACCATTAAAACTATGTTAAAAACAACTAAACATTTTTAACTGGCCTCATTTGGGTTACACTCCTCCTGAAGAATTGGGTTTGCAGCTGGGGGGGGGACTCCTGGTCCCAACCCTCTCTACGGAGGCACAAATACCTGCTGTGGCCAAGGGTGCCTTTTATTATTTTCAACTGATGGTCCAGCTGTGCCCCACATGGATAAATGTCTAACAACCGTGGTTCATGCATTCGTAATCTCTTAACACAGACTGCCCATGAAGTCAGTACAGAAACTTCAGCAGGTCACGGTGATAACAGACTGATTACAGGTACCGACAGATATGAACTAGAGATGGGGGTATTCATACACAAATATGAATATCCCTGCATAGGTGGCATTAATGAGGGCCCAGCCCCATGGTCAGACGCGGACGCCGCGATTCTAGCAATGGATCTGCAGCGCGCGATCCACTCACCACTCTTTGACCTTGCTTGTCCTTCCGCCTCCTGCCAGAAGTGGCAAGTGGATGACACACTACGGATCCATTGGTAGAATCATGCAATCCACGTCCGTGGTAGATTGGTGAGTAGACCCTTGTTAATGCCATCTGTGCGAGGATATTCGTATTCATATACGAATACCCCATCTCTAATATGAACACATATCCTCAGTCCTGGCACACCTTCATTGGCTCTTTGTTAAGTTTCTGTGCTCAATGTAAGGTATCACCATAACCTATAGAGCCCTTAATCTTCTAGCACCTTGATGTTTGGTGGAACATCTCTCCCACAAAATAGCCACTCCTTTCACAGGGTCCTCACAGTCCTTGATAAGAACTGTAACACCCAAGGAAGCCAAGTAGCCAACACTAGGAACCAAGCATTCTGTGATGGCCCCTTTCCCTCTGGAACAAGCTTCCTATCGCTTTGCCAAGCATCATCCCCTTTAGAAAGTTAATTAAGACTTTAAAGCTGCCTTCTACTAGTGGTAAATATTGTCCTCAGATGCTCAAGTGGATTTTAATTTGTGGAATTCTGCTTAAAGGTAGGTTCATTGTTTTAGCTAATGATGAATTTATTGTACTTTGTTGCATTTTTATTGTATTTATTACACAGTGTTTTTTTATTGTATGATTGTATTGTATGTTGTGAACTGCCCATAGAGTGGTAATAGTAATAGGGCAGTGTAGACCTGGAAATAATAAATAATTTGTTGATATTAAAACCAAGATTAAAAACAATTCTGAAAAAAATTGAAAAGAAAACATTTAAAAATCTCAAAATTTAATAAATATAGCATTTCTGAGACACCCCTCCCCATTTGTTGGTTGAAAGCCTGCCTAAAAAGGAAGGGGTTTTTTTTTTGCCTGATAATGGAAAGACAAGAGGGAAAGGACCAACTTGTTTGGCTCCAAACTACACTGACTGTCTGGAACAATGGATGATGTGGAATGTTTAAGAAATTACTACAAACATGAAAATAGCAGGTTCTTTAACGTGGTTCTCTATGAATCCACACAGATGGGTTAAACAGCGCCTGCGCTGGTTCCTCTCGGAATTTTCCAGAGCTATGAGGGAAAAGATACAATGTTTGAGTTGCCCTGCACTGCGCAAGTGCAGCCCGCCAAAAATCCCCAGTTCCATGTGCCCGCACATAGAGAGAGTTGGAACTCAGTCAGCAGTGACGGACACGTGGGGAGGTTGGGCGGAATGGTATAACCATTTCATTCCTCTGTCTCTCCTTTATTATATATTCCCTGCAATATATTCTCAGGGTATTCCCTTTATTATACGTCTCCAGCAATTATGACTCCCTTTTATAATAGAAAACTTGTGACCCCCACCACTACATCTGCATAAAAAGTCATTTTTAATGGAGTAAAGAAACATGCCCCAATATAGGATTAAAAGAGTAAATCCTGTGATTATTTAAATTAATCCAACCAGCTATGTATGGTAACCCACTGAGTGCCAACAGACAGCAAACTGATGGTCTTCCTGAGAATTCATGTACCTTAGAGCTAGAGAGCTTCCAGAAATCTTGACAACTCAACTGCTCGGCTTTACAAGAGAGGAGCAACAATACTCTTAGTTTCTGCAATGCAAACAAAGGAGAGACATGCATCCATCATCACTAGCCTGCTCCCCACCTGCATAGAACCTGCATACAGTGGTGCCTCAACTTACGAATGTCCCAACCATTTTGAGTTACGACCAGCTCCGGCTGCAAAATTTTGCTTCGATTTGCCAGAGCTTCGAGTTACGACTAGAAAAAAAGTGGGGGGAAAGGCGGGGAATTCAAATTGCTAACCGTTGGTGGCGAAGAGGCTGCTTCTTTGTAGCTCTTTCGTCCCAATGGTTAGAGAGTGTGCATTGGAGGAGGTGTGGGACTACCTGGTGCTGCTTTCTGCTTCTGAGTAAGTAAATTTACAGGGTTTTGCAGGGTGGGTTTGTGCTGGGGGAGTTATGTTTCTATGCTGTGATGTTTTGTGTGTGTTTGTTTTTTAAAGACCCAGCACCTTCCAATGGGGCTTGCTCTCTTGCTTATTTGTGGTTTTTTTTTTTAAAGCCCTAGCACCTTCCAATGGGGCTTGCTCTCTTGCTTATTTGTGGTTTTTTTTTAAAGCCCTAGCACCTTCCAATGGGGCTTGCTGGGTTTTTTTTGTTTTTGTTTTTGGTGTGTGGGGGTTTTTTTGTAATTTTTTTGGGGGGGGCAGAACGTATCAATCACATTCCAATGCATTCCTATGGGAAATGGTGCTTCAACTTATGACCATTTCGAGTTACGTCCATCTTCTGGAACAGATTGTGGTCAAGTCGAGGCACCACTGTATTTGCATGCAGTTCCTGGTTGTGTATGACTGCTGTGGAAGTATTAGAAGACCAAGGCCATATTAAATTTATGTCATCGAATGCAGGACTAACTTAGACAAGTGATACCTGCAATAAAATGTCTGTTCAACTCTACAACTCCAATCAATACTATTTTATGGTCAATTTTCATCTGGCTTCTTTGAAGCTCTCTCCTTTTTGCCATCGTCATTGTCATCTTATTTTTTGCTCCTCACTCTTTATATACAAGTTCTAACTCGGGACTGCACCCCCAAACGTCCCCTGTACCTGTGTTCTGGGTCTGAGACATACTGTTTTGCCCACATAAAAATCTATACTCAGGAAATAAGAGCACTATTAGTGTACAAACGTGGTTGGGGAGAGCAGGATCAAGGTTAAACAGTAATTATCTGTCATGATGGAGAAAGACAGGAGTTTTCACTTTCAAAGGCAGTGTACACGTGGTGGTGGAGATGTTAAATGCCAACAGTGAAGATGTTTGCAGCTCCTCCTAGGAAGCAGTTAGCTAGCCTTTGCTGGAAAAAGGACTTCCAATCACCTTTAGGGGACTCTGATCTACTTACCCACTGAACGGACTTCCGTGTCCTTAAAGCATGCCCCTGTGCCACCTGTGGTGGTTACAAATGAGAGAGGGTGATCCAAAGGAGACTGTGGGGCACTCAGAACACTTTCCACCACCCAGTGTCCATCCCAACCTCCCTCTGGTCCCCCTCACCAGTAGGTCAATGTTTGTGTTCAAATGGTTTATGCTTCCTCACCAGACCTGTCAAGAGTATGGCACGGCACAGTACACTTCATCAGAAGCCTCCTCCTCCTCAGAGTCAATGTTCACCCCAAGTCACAAGTTCTCCCAATAAAGGCCTTTGCAGGCTGGGCCACACTTGTGCCTGGAAAATTCAAATATAGCACCACACATCATTCCATCACGGTGTAAGAGCTCTCCTATGCTGCCCCACCTTCCTGCTGCTTGACTGGTGAAG